ACARAGTAAATGTCAATGACCTACCTGTGGCTGCAGGTGGTTGGAGTTAAAGATGAGAGGCTTGGGGAGCAGGTGTGTGCCTGCCTCAGGCTCAGGCAGGGCCAAACCTCCAGTGCAGAGGAGATAAGAAGCTTCTGCAAAGGCAAAGTGAGAATCAAAGATCTACAAGTCTGAAATGTTATAAACCTGAACAAAMCTGGACAGTTTCTGCACAGATGTTTATTTCCTTTAGATTTCCCACTTCAAGATCCCCCACTATGTGATGTTTGTAGACAGCTTCCCACTGACGTCCTCAGGAAAGGTAACCACTCTTCTTTAATGGGAACATTTCTGACCTGTCATGATTTATCGTGTTTTTTTTTCCTTTTTTCTAGATCAAGAAGAACATATTAAAGGAAGACATGGAGAAGAAATTAGGTCTTTGAGATCATACTGCTAGCTTTCTGGGAATGCTGTTAAACACTGACTGGACCAGGATCTGAAATGAACTACTTTCAAAGATTCAAGCCTTATCTCGTTTTGTGCTGTTAATTAATTTTGCTGAGTTGACTTAAATTTTTGTTATTGCTGTGATTTTTGTATTTCACCCACTGTACCAGCTAAATGTGTTGTTTTTAGTGTCATAGAGTTGCTAAATTCTTGGGATTCCCAAAGTTTGAAACTTTCAATGGGACTTTTTTTCTTGGGGAATTAACAGGAATAATCTTGGAATTTAACTTACTTCAGACTGGTCATGATGATGACGATGATGCCTTTATTGTCATTGTACGGAGCACAATGAAATTACATTTAAGAACACCCTTTCAAGAAGACACACATGATAAAAACATAGGGGAACAGGTGATCAGGTCATTAACAAGGATTTTAAATATATAATGGAGAAAATAAATTTTACCCTAATCTTGCCTAGAACCAGATTTCATGCAAGTACATTGGAATTTTTCATCTCTAAGTCACACAATTTCTAGAACCCTGAACTATTTGGAGTATTTCAATATTCCTCATCTTAATTTCTTACCTCTTTTCAACACTTATGCCATTTTAGAGTGAAGAGCTGCGAAGAACATTTGCTATAAAACACACACATGCCATAGTTTTTATTTCTACTTAAAAAAATATTAAATACATGACTTAGTAAAAAATAAAAAAAACTAATAAGAACAACCATAACAAACCACAATCTGTCAATAAAAGATTTGGAAATCAACAAACCTCTGTGCTTTTTTTAAAAGGAAACAATTTCTTTAATAAAATTCATGGAAAAACTGCACCATGTTACCTTAATAGTCTTTATTTACTTTAACAATTCTGACAATTTAACATATTACAACGCTTGTCAACATTGCACAAAATTAAAACTTGTTATCGAAACACATGCCATACAGAATCTGAAATAAATAGGACTTTATTGCCAAGTGTTAATGTACAGTGAGATAAGCAAAATTAACCATCTTTATAATTTCTCCTGTACAAACTGGCTGTAGTGCTCACTTCAGTTATAGACTCCTACACCCAAAGTGATATCTCATAAATACTAACAATAATAACAATACTAACATTTGTTTTACACCTCAGAGTGAGAAGATGTGATAAATGAGGAAATAATGAGAAAAAAAAAAAGGGGGGGGGGGCAGAGCTGCAGACATCCTTTCAGTATGAAAAACAAAGCCAATATCAAAGCTGCCTGAAAAAAGTCAAATTCAACATTAAAGGAAAAGAAACAAAACAAAAGTACAGCAGAAACACTCCACTACAAAAAGGCTGCAAGAAACCAAAATTGTATTTGACTTGGAGTCTCCTTTACAGGGGGAAATTTGGGGCCTACGTTATGTCATCAACTCACATCAGATTGAGGTATTCCATGAAGCTTGAAGAGAAAACAAAAACTTTATATCATACAAAAAATAACAGCCAGTGGATGTCTACAAAGAAAAAGCTAAACTTTAGCAAAAACTTGTGAGGAGCAGCGTCTTAAAATCGGGATAGTTCAAACCTTTAGAAGTGTGTTTTTTTTTTTTTACATTTTTATAAACAGTAATCTTAATAGTTGTAGATAGCACTTACACCAACCAAAGTTCGGAGAAATGAGATAACAGCCAATTTAATCAGATCAAAATGGGTTGTTTCAATTTTCAAAATGCTCCAATTTTCATATCAGGTCATGTGAGCTCCAATTTATGTCTTTATACCTCTTTCAACTTCACATTAAATTATTTACAGAMAATTTGATGGTTWTTTGGGGGCGGCTGTGGCGGACTGGTTAGGGGAGTCGTCCTGAAACTGGAAGGTCGCTGGTTCGATCCCCCGTCCAGCCGTTTGAGTCGTGTCCTTGGGCAAGACACTTTACCCGCCTTGCCTACTGATGGTGGTCAAAGGGTCCGGTGGCGCCGGTGCATGGCAGCCCCACCTCTGTCAGTGTGCCCCAGTGTAGTTTGCCATCATCAGTGAGTGAATGTGAGTGTGAATGGGTGAATGTCTGTTTGTAAAGCGCTTTGGGGTKRGYAGGGACTTGAAAAGCGCTCTATATGCTCAGTACCATTTACCATATTTGGAAGCAGAATTGCTACCTGTAGCACTTGTGGTGCAGCCTGCAGAACCTTCAATTCTGGCAGGAATATTCCATTTTGACTAGAATAACCGTACAGCATAATTATGTACGAAAAAGTTTTCTTAAAACCTGAAAATTACTTTTAGTTCAGAATCACTTTATTGTTTTAGGATGGCTGCAAACCTCTTCAATATGAGCCTTACTTGGATTGGCTGTGAGATGACGGATCTATGCAGGATTACTGGAGACATTTAAAGAGCCACCTACAACAGATTTTAGTTTATAACCTCTCCACAGAACCCACTTCAAAAGAATCTGAAGAATTTTGTCAGGAGAAGAAGAGACAACCAGCTGAGATTTCCTCAGGATGATTTTAGCCACTAACAAGAAAAATGACTGCACAACAGCTACATGGCTTTGAACGATCAACATTCACATCTCATCAGTCTCAATCACACAGTGAACATGCACACATGTAAGGGTGGGAGAGCAAATAAGGATATTGCATTTTAAAGCACACAGAGATAAATTAGTTAATATGAACACGCTCATTTTTAAATATACATTCTAAAAAAAAGAAGTTTAACTGTGCAATTTCAAAGAAAACTAAAAAAAAAATAATGAAGCTGTGGTCTGCTGAGGCCCTTTCGTCAAAAAATATAGTGTTGGGATGAACTGCCTCAATAAGTCAGTCAACACGGGAGGAGACCGACTAAGASCACTGCATTGTAACAACAGTCATACAAGCACAGTACAGCTTTAGGCACATGCAAGAAGTGCTAGGAACACGTGCACAGCTGGCCGTGCACCCACACACAGACGCACTGAGAGCTGGAGGTAAGTCCATTGTTAAGTCAGGCCTCTCTCACCCCCCATCAAACTCGAAACATGCACTCCCACACACGTAAACATTRAGTCAGACTTTCTGTCACTCTTGCTCACACACAAAACACGCGCCGCAGCCCAAATGTCCTCTCTGTTGCCACGCTTCTATTGGATAGACGGACGTTTCAGCAGCGTTTCAGGTTGCCTGCGGACTCCTCACACACTTAAAGGCAGCATTCCTGGATGAGATATGACTCTGGATGAGGCCATAGAGGTCAGAGAGCTGGGGTCCAGTCCATTAACAGAGCTGCAGGTAAGACGTGTACATGAGCAGATGTGGGCAACGCAAACAGAATACCGTTATTATTTTTAGGGTAATAGTTGCGAACACTTACGATTTCTCAAAGTAAGTGGTGTGTAGAGTGTGGGAGAACTTGGTGGCGTTGCCGTTGATAAGTGTGCCCTTGTCAATCGAGTAATTCTTTCTTGCTGCCTGGTCTTTGGCCAAGTTCCTACAAGCAGCAAGTTTGGACTCCAAAGCCTGGCGACACAACAGGAAACAGACTCTGTGATTGGCATCAGCAGAAACTTTTCTCTTCCTATCGAGTGATCTACTCAAAATAAAACAAGTCAACAAAGACTACTGTATCTATAGGGCGCCAAGTGTAAAATAAAATGTTCAAAAATGTCACCAACACATTATTTAGCTCAATATCTGAGAGTAAAATCTTTAAAAAAATTTCCACTAACATTGTATTGTTATTTAGCTCAATATTCTTACATTTAGCTAAGTTTAAAAAAATGTTACATTTAAATGTTAAAATAAAATATGTAAATATTAAATCCTAAATCTATAGGGCGCCAAGTGTAAAATAAAATGTTCAAAAATGTCACCAACACATTATTTAGCTCAATATCTGAGAGTAAAATCTTTAAAAAAATTTCCACTAACATTGTATTGTTATTTAGCTCAATATTCTTACATTTAGCTAAGTTTAAAAAAATATTACATTTAAATGTTAAAATAAAATATGTAAATATTAAATCCTAAATCTAAATGTTTAAATCTAAAAGTTAAATGCAAATGTTCTGGCTAAATGTTGAAGTTTACATTTAAGTATTTCGGATGGCTATTTAGGATGCCATCATCTTGAGACGAAAGCAACCGTTAATGCTGCCAACTCCGCCCAACACGACATCAAACCTGCAGTTGCGATTGATTTAACTGCTGGTCCACAMGTACCGTACACATAKTGTAGTTTTCTATGAARTCATTTTGAATTTAAATTTTAAATACCATCTTCAGCGGCGTTAACTGCGTTAGCACTGTTAGCGGTTGCTTGTGGCGCCCTAACAAAAGCCAAGCACAAAAGCAAAGGATATGTTCCATTCTGAAATAATTAAACTTCAACAAAATACTTAAACTTTTAGCTACAGCAATTAAGATTTCACTTCATTTCAARATTAAGATGTAGGATTTAATATTTACATATTTAACATTTAGTAAAAATTAGCGAACAGTGAGCTAAAGAACAATAAAATGATAGAGGAAAAATMTTAACACACYCAAAGTGAMCTAAATGATGAAAATGTGTTAGTGACATATTTGAACATTTTATTTGACACTTGGTGCTGCGTATGTATCTTCACACAAACACAAATAAGAAATAAGTTATTCAGTTCAAAGGAATGGAGACCTACCCCAACTTTTCTCAGAAGGTCTCCAACTATATTCAGAGCTGAGATTCTAGCAGAAGGAGTGAGGGCAGAGCCTCCACAGCCGTTGGTCAATGCTAGAACAAARGCATTTAAATCAGAACAAATGCYTTTTTTTCTTCATCTGTATAAAAGTCAGAATGTGATTAATCTGCACCTTTTGGAGAAACAAAGGAGTGCTCTAAACTCTTTCCTACAGGTGTTGCAGGAAGGGACAGAGAGGCCTGCACKGCAGAGTCCATCTTGTCGATGTCTAAAGTAGGTGAGCTGGGTGCTGACATCCTGTCGGTATTCCTCTCTCGTACCGCCAGCTCCTGTCTCAGATCTACATGAGATAAGAGTACAACATACACTTCACCATCCCCCCACACAGTGCTCACAAAAATGCAGGTCGGTATGTTGTGTACCTCGTGCTTCATCTTTCAGTCTCTGCACAGAAACCAGGAGAGACTCCTTCTCATCTAGCTCACTCTCCAGGAAGGCATTTCTCTCAATGGCCTGGTTTAAACGGCTCTCAAAGTCCTCAAGAGAAACTATCATTGCCCTACAAATACAGAATGTATTTTAAAAACACTGCATACTTGTAAGATTCTGTATTTGTTGAATGTGTACGTCATGTTATTCTGACCTCTTGGCTCTTTCCAAGTCGTCATTGGCTTGTTCAAGTTCCCTCACATATTTGTATAGCTGCTCCTTGATGCTGCGGGTCTGGGTCAAGTCATCCTCCAACATAGATATCTGTTTGTAACTCTGGGCATACTGCTGCTCCAGCTTCTCCTGATGGTAAAAAAAAAAGCAAGGGGGCCAAGGGGTTAGCAAACATCGAGAAACCAGTACAGGAACATCTTGAATCGATCATTTGTACACAGAGTTACAGCAGTGGAGGAAGTCAGGGGAATCACAAGACAGTGAAAATGTTCAACATTATAATACTTTCAAAAGGCCTCATTGTTCCCCAAAGGGAGACACAATGGTGCTTTATTCTGGGCTTTAAAAAACAAACAGCTGTGTAATTAATAACACTGATGCACAAAAACATCATGTTTTCTCTGGTTTATTGACACTAATACTTATCTGCATTTTGTGCAACACCGAACCTCAGAGGTTGGGATATGTGAGGGGGGAAAAATCTTTATTTTATATGTACTAATGCTGGGCGGTATGACCCAAATATTATATCACAGTATTTTCCATAATTATACCYGTATCACAGTATTTGACYGTATTTTTCCTTTTCATCACAGCTAAGCTGGTAATAAAGTGTACAAAAATTCCTTATTGATTAGCAAACCATGGTCAGCTAAAGTTYCTCTCTTTCTGCAACACAAACTATTGACATTTTTTCCTTACTGTACCTCTGTGTCACCGTTTCCCTTCTCTACATGTCTTTTCTTCTTTGCCTGGTTGTAGACAGTAGTCACGCATTTTGTTACAGTCAGGGAGGAGAAGTGCTGAGCAAAGATCAGAATCGCGTCTATTTTTTTAATAAAGCTTACCAGCATGACTACCGTAAGCCTCCGTGCACCAGTCAAACTAATCTTAGTACACAACTACTTCCCCTGAGCTTTTCACATTAGAAGCACATTAACGTCTCCATATTAACGTTGCACATTAAAACTATCCGTGCACGTCACTAAAGAGGTGTATACTACATTCAGCGATGGCGAAAACAAGTGAGTTTGTTTTTAAAGTCAGTCAATATAAGCAGCAGGATCACCACCTGCTGCCAGTTATGGAGAAGGCTGCTCCATAACAATAACATTAGCTTGCTGATGTGCGTAGTGGTGCAGCGAGGAAAAGTGTTCTCTGTGAATCAGGTCACTGGTGCATGTGACGTAACGTTTCAAAAGTGTTCAGGCAATTTAAACTGGGATGTCCAGTATTCAGAAAATTCATATCATAACAAAAGTAAAAACAGTTTTTCAGTACGAACCGATCAGAGGCGATTGCTCTAAGACTGCAAGGGAAGCTCAGCTTCCCCTAAAATGTAAAAAAAGTAAAAATTAATAAATAAGTGATCAAATATATACTGTTGTGTGTACATGTCATTGACTAAATACGCACTACAACGCGCTCAACTTTTGTTCAGAATCAGCTTKTTTTCTCTGGTAACGACGCGGCTTTCCTCTCCCTCATTCCCGCAGCTTCACAGTGCTTTAAACAGTCGGACGCTGAGCTTCCACAGAGTTCAATAGTGAAGCAAGGAGTGCAGCGAAACGAGACGAGTCATTGGATAAATGCTGGGCTTTGTCCCGCCCACGGACGCTCAGCGTCTCTGGGGGTCAATGGGGCCGTGGGCTAGCCTCGGCTGGCTCGGACGCTCAGCTTCTGCATCATGATCGGATGATCTGTCTGAGGTTGAATTCCTTTTTGATTGACAGCAAAATGAGCGAATCAGCAATCTTTTGGTGTAAACATCCATGGGAGCAGGTTTAAATTTACACTCTGTTCTGAGTTGAACCAGAGACTTTCCTAATCCTCTCAGCTGCATTTTCTTTGTTTAAAAATGACTAGCGACAAGTCAAACTTTTATTTCTGGTGGGGTTTTTTTTGTAGCTGTTTGTGTTTGGAGACTGACGTCTATCATTCTTTCTGACTTCTATCGCAGTTTCTGTCCAGCAGGTGCTGCTGAACCCCTCCACCGTCACAAAGCACTCACAGGCGGARGCACTTCAAACTAGCCTCACGAGGAAATGAACGGAGGGTAGAATTTACTTATAAATAAACTGARACATTTTATGATGTAGACCGAAATTGAGCATCCCCTCTTTAAAAGACCAGCATCAGCCACTGGAACCGATACACCGCCCAGCTCTAAAACATACAAAATAAACAACTAGAAAAGTTCAAGACAGATGTAATATCTTTTTTAGTATGCACCAATACGTTTTACAGCATACTAACCTATAGAAGATAACAAAAAAAAGTGATGTCAGCAAGTTACCTTGAGGTTGGACACCTCGTTCTTTATTTTCTCATTTTCAGTTTGTAAATCTCGAAGTCGATGCTCAGCCTGGCTAAGCTGTGCCTCTAATTCAGCCTCCAGCTCCCGGCTCCCCTCCTGGAACTCCTGCAGTTCTTCTTGTGCATCCTGGAAACTATGCAGAGCAGATAATAAAAAACATCAACACATGAGCATTTTAAAAACCCTCCTCTTCATCTACCACACTTTTGTGAACTTTAGTTCTAGAAAGGTGACAGACATCTGTTCCGCAAAATGAGCAGAGGAATGTTCCAGTTTTTTTTRCCTCCCAAATGGACAAAAACAAACCCTTAATAAAGCTCGTCAGATTTTAACATATTTATAACCTCTTAATCCTAACTAACAGCTCAGTATTGTTGACATTAGTATTCTGAATATACAGCTCTGAGACAACAGCTGGAGGGGCAGATGACACAGGGACACATGTGACTTAGAGGATATTAAATAATAATAACAATAATAATAACAATAAT